TATTCCCTTCATGGCGCACAGTAATTTTCTTCTATCGACCTTCGTTCAGGCTATTGGCAAGTATCTGTCGATGAAAATGATCAGAATAAGACCGCCTTCATTACACCCGATGATCTATACCAGTTTAACGTCATGCCCTTTGGGTTGTGCAACGCGCCCGCAACATTTGAACGCATGATGGTCTCGCTACTGGGGGGTTTCAAGTGGTCCATAAGCCTCTGCTACCTGGAAGATGTCGTTTTCTCCCCGACTTTTTCCAGTCCCCTGCAACACTTGTCGGCTACTTGCAAGTCTTTCGCACCACTGGTCTTGAACTCAACTCTTCAAAATGCCGCTTTGGCCACCGAAATATCACCGTGCTCGACTATCTAGTTGACGCAGCCAGTATACGACCCAATCCATAAAAATACGCACTGTCCCCAACTTCTCTATTCCACGTTCTTCCAAGGGCGTTCGCTTGTTTTTTGGCCTGTGCTCGTATTTTGGCTGCTTTGTTAAAGATTTTGCAGTCATTGCGCCGCCCCTCACATGTCTTTTGAAAGAAGACGTCTCTTACTCTTGGGGACCTGACTAAGCGTCGGCTTCTTCCCTTCTCGTCGACCGACTGACGTCACTCCCTGTGTTGGCCCATTTCGACGACTCTGCGCCTACCGAAGTATGCACCGATCCCAGTGGTCATAGTATCTGCGCTGTCCTTGGCCAAAATCATCACTGCGTCACTGCTTACGCCAGCCGCCTCCTCTCCGCAGCTGAGCGGAACTATTCTATAACCAAAAAAGAGTGCCTTGCTCTTGTTTGGGCTGTCGGGAAATTTCGTCCCGGTCTTTACAGAAGACTCTTCACCGTGGTAAGTAATCAACACGCCTTATGCTGGCTGTCTTCCCTCAAAGATCCGGCTGGTCGCCATGGTCGTTGGGCACTACGACTTCAAGAGTACACGTTCACTGTTGTCTTCAAGTCTGGCCGCTTGCATCAAGACGCTGACTGCCTGTCCCGTTATCCCGTCGGCCCTGCAGACTCTTCAGCGAACGATACCATTCCGTATGTGCTTGCAATAACTTACCTGTTCAACATTTCTGCTGAGCGACGACTTGACCCGACTCTTCGTGACATTATCGACCACCTCAACTCTACAGCTTCCGATTCATCTCTTCGTCTCTTGGTGCTACACGACGGCACCTTGCTACGTCGTAGTCTGATAACCGACGGTCCTGACCTCTTGCTTGTGATTCCGGCACATCTTCGTTCGACGGTTCTGGCTCAGCTTCACAACGTGCCGATTGCGGGGCACCTCGGCGTTTCCCGCACCTGCGATCGTGCGTGCCGTCGGTTCTACTGGCCAGGAATGTATAGGTTTGTGCGTCGTTACGTGACCTTTTGCGATCTTTGTCAGCGCCGGAAGAAGTCAACATTCCCACCTGCCGGCTGTCTTAAATCACTCGATGTTCCATATGAACCGTTTCATCGTGTCGGCCTCGACTTGCTTGGTCCGTTCCCTACGTCTGTCTCAGAAAATCAATGGATCTCCGTTGCCACGTACTATGCCACGGGCTATGCCACATGGTTCGCAATTACTCGCACACTTCCCACCAGCTGCGTGATTGACGTGGCGGACTTCTTGCTCTACAACGGTATCCTTCAGCACGGAGCACCGCGGCAGCTTCTGACGGACCATGGAAGGCAGTTTCTACCTCGGGTCATCAGTGATATTTCAATGTCTTGCTCGACCAAACATAAGCCAACCACGGCCTACCATCCACACGCAAATGGCTTGACGGAGCGGATAAACCGAATCATTACCGACATGCTGGCAATGTAGGTGTCTGCCGACCACCAATATTGGGATGCAGCGTTGCCTTTTGTCACATTCACCTACAATACGTCGCGGCACGAGAAGGCTGGCTATTCACCTTTCTTTCCTTTATTTGGCCGAAATCCAACTTTGCCTAATGACACGATGATGCCTCCTTCGACGTGCTCACCCACTGAATACGCTCAAGAAGCTAAAGCTCACGCCGACCATGCATGTCAACTTGCACGCGTTTGGCTAACTGACTCGCAAGTGGACCAAAAATCTCGTTACGACAGCCGTCACCGAAACGCCTACTTTTCCCCAGGATCTCTTGTCCTCCTGCGTTCTCCAGCACCACGTACTGGGCTTTCTGAGAAGCTAATGTTGCCCTACTCTGTACCATACCATGTGCGCCGCCAAGTGACCGACGTCACGTATGAAATCAAACAATTGTCCTCGTCCTCTTCCACGACACCCCGCACGGACATCGTTCACGTTGCCCGTTCGAAGACTTACCTTACATCAGACTCCCCCAACACATATGTATAGTGACCACTTTCACTACCGTCATTCCTCGGCTCCACCGATTCAGTGCCTTCGCCGCCGGAGGGTAATGTTATGTGCCGCTCACCTAGAGGACGAACAAGAAGAGGGCTAGGTGGTGCCTGCTCTCGCCATTTTGGTTGTCTTTGCCATCACTATCGTGGACTGTAAATATTATGCCCTTTTCTGTCGTCCTCTCCGTAACAATATATAAAATGCATGTCCGACCTGTGTTAGAGTTTGGCTGCGTTCTTTTTTCTGGTGTGCCAGCCTACAAGCTCCGGCCACACGTTCTATTGGAAAGAGAGGCTTTAAGGCTCTGCTTAGAACTTACAAAGTATACTAAAAATACATTGTTATACCTTGAAGCACAAATGCCCCCTTTTTTATGTCGCTTTAAAATTCTCACTGTGCAGATGTTTTTACGATTATATGAAAAAACCTATAGCCCCCACTCAATTATTTTGATTTCCAATCCTGACTTATTGTTCTCCGCGCATTAGCCCAGCTTTCACAAACTACAATATTATTTGGTCAATCGTTAATTGAGCCTTCAAATGTGCAAGTTGGTGGTCTGCTTCCTAACTGCACAACAAAATTATCCAGAAATTGTTTACTATGATAACTACCAGCATTTTGAACACCCGGTTTTGGCTTAACGAAAAAGGGATACTTCAGAAGCCTTCCCGAAAAGTGACACGATTGGAGAAACTTCCATTGGAATACTGCCCCTACCGCAACCTTTTCGGAAAAGCAACGAAAGAAATCGGATGAAGTTACCAAGACAAAAAAATGAGAAAAATGCTGCTGTTTGTCTTTGGTGGTAGTGTGGTGTTTTGGTTAGTTAATGTGCAGTCTCACGAGGTCGGAACCGGCACATTTCATGAATAACTCGTACAACAGATGACCAACAGAATACTCCAAGCATACGGCTCCTCAACGCTGCTGTCGATCTATTTAATCTACTGTGGTAGCGTTAAAACCAATGAATTTCCCCACCTGTACGCAAGTCGTAATCTTTAGTGAAGCCGCGCTAACAACACGGACGAATTGTTATGGGCAGAACAGGCGCTAAATGGGTCCATCAGACTTCGTCTCTTTTAGCGCTCGCTTACGCTAAAAGCCCCGTGCGATAAACGCGGGACGGATTCCTGCTCTTTCATGGTACCAAGTATGGTACCAAGTACACTAAATCGTTACACTTTTTTCTGAACAAACAACCGAACGAACTGGCCATGGTGGTCATGTGACTATGGTGCTCCACCGCTGGTCCAAAGGTCACGGGAACGAATACTAGCTGTGTGACAGCATTTCGATGGGTGTTGAATGCTAGAAGCTCGTGTGCTTAGACTAAAGTGCATGTTAAAGAACGCCAAACAGCCAAATCTTCCGGAGCCTTCCACTACGGCGTGTTCCTTGAACGTATCGTTCTTTCGGGGCGTAAAAGGAACATTGTTTTGGGACCTAAAATTGTACCATACCACTTAGCCCAGTGGTCGACGTTGCCTCAAGCGGCAAATGCTGCTTATTTTGCTCGGTATGTTCCCAGGATTTCCTACTTTTAAAGACGATAGTATTTCTTGGGAACATTCCTGCGTATTTCTCTCGGTATGTTCCCAGCATTTCCTACTTTTAAAGACGATAGTATTTCTTGGGAACTTTCAACGCAAAAAGTTTGGTCATCTGTCTGTCTGTATATTTGCCTGTTTGTCCGCGCTTAACGGTACCCTAAACGGCACCAAAGTGGCCAAACGATACTCCAAATGGCTGACACCATCCGCAGCGCCCACCAATATTGCTCAACGTTCAGCTCATACTTATGCGATTGTCAATTAAAAAGCAATTATTGCGCATATCTGAGGCAACATAATAACACGTTAATATTCTGTATGTGTGTCTCTTACTGGAAAAAGCATACACAAGTAATTATAAGCACCGTCGGGTTTATCACGTTGCGCTGACTATGCAACGGTTGCATGAAAAGGTGTGTGTTTTCAGCGCTTTGATAAGACGACATGGTGGTGGCACCGACCCGTCGCCTTGTGTTTTACATCTTATCACCTCCGAGACGGCGCACAGGGTGCGCGCGCTTCGTTTTCCAAGATAACTGCCAGATGGCGCTCATGTCTCACGTGTGACGTGACTTGATGCATTCGTTTGCCTCCGCTGCACGCTCGAGGCACTCTAACACAGCGCCTCCGAAATACCATTCACTGATTTTCTTGCGCAGTGCATCAAATAAACGTTTTGTTCACTCTCTCCAGACGCAAGACTATCGTCTTTCGACGACATTTGCAGTGTAACATGCGGATACGGGGCCAATTTTTTTTTATCTACATATTTTGTCGTCAGGAAGGCCTAACCACTATTTGTGCCAGCGCGGAGCCAGGGAATTAAGCGTGTTGTATCGACACAGCGAAACACCATACACTAACACAGACACACACAATATGACGATCAAACGCGCTCACGTGTCCCGCATTTCACCGTGCAGGCATAAAGATTAACCGGGGCTCCACTTTGTCGGATGCCACGCAGCTGTTGCGCGGGCCCTGGCAATATTCAGCTTAAATATATCGTATACATCCGCCCATGAAGGTTAACCGGATGCTCTGACTGGGGTTCGAAGAACGGTGCACTGCGGAGAAAAACGACGGAAAACCGGCTGTTTTATTAGCAACCGTGATCAACTGAGCTCATTTCGTCGTCGAAGAGAGTGGAGCGATGTTCGCGACGGCATGCCTGGCGGCATTCGCGGTGCTTCTTTACAGGTACGGTGTCATTGTATACCCATAACACCCTTCGCAACAACTAACACCTTGGTCGTCCTATTCAACCTGCTCTATTTTAAGGCTTTACTAGGTCATATAAGAAAGCCAGCAGAGCGAACAGCTGGACAGATACAGAATAAATGATGTCCGTGGTTGTACTGTTGTCCTGTCGTTAGCAGTTTTTCTCTTTCTATTGACAATGTATATACCAGTCAAAACAACCACTCTGGCATAGTTTATTCGTGTACTATGTAGTAAAGCGTTACCTGGAGAGTTTAGACTCTTCCGCAGTCATTATCCAGCCCATAAAACAGCCTAGAAACAACATAGCATCACCAATTTAAATCCTGGCAACAACATATAAATAAGCCTAATAAATTATGCCTCATCTACGAAATGAATGATGATAAGTGGATGATACTCGAAGGGGGAGATCATCAATAAACCGTAACTCTCCCGAAAAAAACTATACTGTGTGTGCTTCTGTCTGTCCTTTCATCCGTTTATGAGTCCGTCCGAGCGTCCGTCTGTCTGTCCGTCCATGTTTCCGTCCGTCCAGGCATCCATTCGTTCTTCTCTCCGTCCGTCCATGCGTCTGTCCATTCTTTTGCCCGTCCGTCCGCGCTTCTGTGTGTCTGGCCATCTGTGCGTCCGTCAATGCGTTCGTACGTCCGTTCGTCTGTCCGTCTGCCCGCCCGCTCACCTGCCTGCCTGCCTGCCTGCCTGTCTGTCTGTCTGTCTGTCTGTCTGTCTGTCTGTCTGTCTGTCTGTCTGTCTGCCTGTCTGTCTGTCTGTCTGTCTGTCTGTCTGTCTGTCTGTCACACTTGCGCCACCTGCTGTGTGGGTCATAAAACAGGTGTTTACAAACCGGTCCCAAAAGACGTGTATGGACAAACCCACGGCTTTAGGAGCTTCGCCCCTAAAGTTGCCAGCCGTATCTTCCCACGGGGGGAACTCAAGTAAATGCGTCGCGAAGTGGTTGGGGTATTGCGTGAATGTTGCGTATTTATTTGTGGTTGAAGAATGCTCAATAGTAATTTCCCCTTTAATATTCTGATTTATTGAATGAAGGACAAGCGTTGCTTTCAACGTAGAGTGAAATCTAATTAAAGACTTTTTTAACTGAACTCGTGTTGAGGAACGTGAGACGAGACGGCAGTTCATGAGGCCGTGCCCTGGTCATGGCTTTTATTTGGGACGCGGGCATAGGCGAGGTCGCCGCTGCAGTGTCCAGCCAGGCCAGGAGCTGTTGTTGTTGTTCTCCAATTGTTAGTGGCGCATACCCACTGTGGGGGATCGGTCAAGAATTGAGTGGTTTTAAAATTTACTGTTCAGATTTGGAATGATGGAGGTATAACAGAAAGATTACCGATAGCCTAGGCAAGTGTGGTGCTTAATGTAATGCATACAAATATTTACATAAACGAATTTATTATTAGAATAGAGCAATAATCTGATTTTATACGTATATAATTATGTGGACATGTCAGAATAATAAAACTGGTTAATTAGTCAACCTATTAGTTTCATCAATATAGTCCCGGACGGCCGCGCATACTGTCCCATTATCCCATTAGAGAAACCAGAAATGGAAGCTCCAAAAGACAAAATGACAGGCAGAGATAAGTCCATACCAATACCACGCAAAGGTATTTCTAATAGGGTTTTTCGTAATGTGTTAAACCGCCTGCAGGTCAAAAATAAATGGTCTATTGTTTCCAGTTCATCACAGAATGCGCACAGTGGCGAAGGTGCCTGAGCAGACCTGTGTTTATAGAAATTTAGATTTGGTACCCGGCAACGCAGCCTTGTGATAGCTACTTCTTGTTTTCGAGTGCGGCAAAAGTCTCTTCGCCAGGGATATAATAAATGGCGATATTCTGTAGAGTTTGTTAGTGCTGAACCTTTAAAGACTTGCAGAAGCGTACGTCTGCGGAATCGAGCAGCAGTCACATAAGCGGATAATGGACAGAGCGGTAAAATTAGTTCGCTGATTGACGACTTAGCTAAGGAATCGGCTGTTTCATTTAGAAACAAACTTTTATGTCCAGGCACCCAAACTAATCGTACTTTTCTCAAATGCGAAGGTACTAGTGCACGGAACGCCTTTGTTACGTGATTATCAGCACCAACAGAAAGTGCAGCACAGAGAGATAGGGAATCTGTTATTATGACAGCTGATGTAATTGCTGTATCTAACTTGCGTAAGGCGAGCACCACTGCCAGAAACTCGGCCACAAAAGCAGGTATGAAATCGGGTAGTAGAAGGGAATAAATCTAATTTAAAATCGGGCTGAATATACCAACCCCTGACTTTTCGTCGTATTGCGATGCGTCTGTAGCAATAATAACGTTCGTTGTAATACGGCGCAGGTGATCCTGTAGTAAACCATCCAAAATATTATGGGGAAGTAATTTGGCATTATTAGGGAAAATGTCGTCGAATTGAATTTCCACCGGGGCTGAATTATCATGACTCGGCTTGATGTCGCATATACGTACGTTTAGAGGCTCCAGTAAATTTTGCGCAAATATAATTTGTGGCGTGTGAAATCGCGGCCATCTAGCAGCAAAAAATGATTCCAGGGTGGAAATAAAGGCTGTTTCTGAATGTCGTGGAGCTAAGCCGTTCTGAATTCCTCGTGGCTCACGCACCACATGCCACATGGCTCACTTCTTTTTCTGCGTGGCCAGCTGGCCAAAAATAGCGTGGCGCTGGATGTATACATGTATACGGCGTGGCCAGTGAATAGTTGTGCAGCGCGATCAGTCGTGCGGTGTTTATATGCGACGCATTTCTTAGCGAACTTCGGTGACTTTGAGCGAATCTATCTATCTATCTATCTATCTATCTATCTATCTATCTATCTATCTATCTATCAATCTATTTAGCTATCTATCTATCTATCTAGCCGCCTAAGACATTTAGCTCTCCTGGCCGTTTCAATTATGGTACTGATACCAAACTTGGTGTGGCATAACATGACTGCATGACGAACATATTTGACTAGTCATAACATAAAAGTCGTGACATGTATGTCATGAATGTCTTGATTTACAGTTCATGGTCCTTCTGCTCTTGCGGTCGTTTCGTTCACATGACATGATCCAAATTTTGTATGGCGTGACATGATTGCATGGCGAACACAAGCGACAAACCCTAACTTGAAAATCACAACATGCATGTCACAAACAGCATGACTATGTTACACGCTCATGATGCGCTCGCCGTCATTTCACTAGCGTCACATATACCAAATTTGGTATTACGGTACGTGAATGGATGACTAGGGTATGTGACTGGGATAAATATGATAATCATGAGATGCGTGTCATGTAAGAACATGACAACATACTACGATTATGATGCGCTCGCGGCCGTTTCGCTAGCTCCACATATACCCAATTTGGTGTCACGTGACGTCAATAGATGACGAAGGTATATGACTGGTGCAAACATGATAATCATGAGATGCGTGTTATGAAACAACATTACTACATGCTATGCTCATGACGCGCTCGCAGCCGTTTCACCAGATTCAGATGTACCAAATTAGGTATTACGTGACGCGCATGGACGACAAAGGTAAATGACACATCCAAACGTGATAATCACGAAATGCGCGTCATGTAACAACCTCACTACATGCCACACTCATGATGCACTCACGGCCGCTTCGCTAGCTTCACATATGTCAAATTTGGTATTACGTGACGTCAATGGATGAAGAAAGTATGTGACTGGTACAAGCATGATAATGATGAGATGCGTGTCATGTGAGAACATGACTACATACCACAGTCGAGGCACCAATACAATTCGACGTGATCCGGTGCGCGTGCGCGCCGGCGTTCGTTTCGTGCGTCACGCTGTTGATGCCACGCCAGGCGCCGGTCCTTCCTTATACTCGCAGGTGCGCGCCGCGCTACGTTGCTTTGACGCATGTGTGTTTCAGTGCGTCCGGCGTCCCTCCGTCACGAAAAGAGGCAGACGTAGTGCTGTCTGGGTAACGCATTGGCGCGAAATGCAGCACGTCGCATTTTGCGTTGGTTGCCGTTGGGCCCCGCCTACGGGCGCTGGTCGCGCCGGTCGCGCCTGGCGTCAGACTATAGAGTGCTCGCGTTGTGATAACATAGCGTCACTGTGCCCAGCGTGCACGTGCGTCAAAGTTACGTTGGAATATATTGGGACCTTCATGATGCGCTCGCGGCCGCTTTGGTAGCTCCACATATAGCAAATTTGGTGTTACGTGACGTCAATGGATGACGAAGGTATAATACTGGTGCAAACATGATAATCCTGACAGGCGTGTCATGTAAGAACATGACAACATACCACGCTCATAGCGTGCTCGCAGCCGTTTCGCTAGCTCCACATATACTAAATTTGGTATCACGAGACGTGAGTAGACGACGAAGGTAAACGACACATCGAAACATGATTATCATGACACGGAAGTTATGTACGGCCCAATTGACCTCGATATATCAACCTTTCTAATTCGTGCTTCGTATACCATCGATTCCCACTGTACGTGGGATCTGCCATTTTTTTATTTTTTGTTTACTAGCTGATGCTGCCTGCGACGCCCTTGCAATGTCCCACCGTAGTGGTCTAGTGGCTAAGGTACTTGTCTGCTGACCCGCAGGTCATGGGATCCAATCCCGGCTGCGACGGCTGCATGTTCGATGAAGGTGAAAATCCTGTAGGCCCGTGTGCTCAGATTAGGGTACATGGTAAAGAACCCCAGGTGCTCAAAATTTCCGAAGCCCTCCATTACGGCGTCTCTCATAATCATATGCGGGTCTTGGGGCGTGAAATCCCGCATATCAATCAGCCTAATGGGGTGGTGGGTGGGGGGGTATTCAGGAGCATGAGCCTGAAACATCTCGCTTTGAAGAGGGGGGGGGGGGGTCAGAGATTACTTCAAAATGTAAAGAAGCTATCGATTTCCACATTAGAGCAAGCAAACGACGCACCACTTCTTAATCCACGAATT